ACACCGCTTGTGACCGGCCGCCAACTGGAGTTCTTACATACTGCCCACCAGACCCACTAAAAGTTCCTTCTCTATCCAACGGCACACAAGACTCATTGCAGCTGGACTGTTGTAACTGAGCTAAATGGTAACATTTCCTCTCTTCCCTTTGTCATGAGCTTGTAAGACGGGACTTTCTTTAATTAGCACAGCTTTTCTTATACAGCTGGCTAGCACAGACCCTGTCAGGAAAAGGACAAGCAGCACTTCATTCCAGTGGCAACTGTGATTTGCAAATTACCCATTATAAGCAACGGTAGTAATATCAACTCTAAGAAGGTACTGCCAAAGAACAAGAAGCTAGAGGAGCTCAGGAGTAGGGCAGAACTCCTACTAGCCTTAAACTAATCCACTTCCTTTGTCTGGCACAAATCCAAAGGCAGTGATATGCTAAACAACAAATTCAGGCCAACAAATTCACAAATGAACGGTGAACAAACTAGTATCAATCTCACATATACATCAGGTGATCGATAGCAAAACCCCATCTACAGCCCAGGGTACTAAGAACAGTGATGTGGAATTCAGCCAAACCTACATGCTGATCTAAAGGACTAGCTCAGCACAACCTCGACAGACTCAAATACACAACCCCAGAATTATGTAACTGCGTCAGCGGTATTAAAACACGTGCAGGTTTGCATGCATACATTAAAAATATCTCCCTTCATGCACATTTTCCTGTAACAACAGGCATTACTGTACTGTTTATGTTGACGGGAGCTGAATGTAGTTCTTGAATTACTTAGCAAGGCATTATGGACACTACTAATTATTTCTGTAAGATTAAAAATCCTACCATTAACAAACAAGCAAGTCCCCGCCCCCCCCCCAAAAAAAAACATACAGAGAAACAGTCTTAGCAGTAAGTTCAGCAGAAGTCCAGCTTCCATTAAACAGCATGAATAATGAGGTGCATGGACTTCGGTGTGAATTGGGATCTAGACGCAAAGCTGCTATTCCAGAGACTGTCATGTTAACACTGCAGAAGATGTGTTTAGAAGGGGACAGAGAAACTTGGGAAGGGAATTTCAGTGCGATCCTGTATTAATTATTAACCTCATGAAGCAAAACAACAGGCCTTTCGAGCTATCTCTTCAGCTGGATATGTGATGTTGTTTTCCACTCACATCCTAACTTTATTGCTAACCCATAGTCTAGCCAAAAACATCTTTTGCCAACTGCAAGCAGCAAAGTCTGCTCCTGTCACGCAGCTCCTCATTCATCTTTGGCACGGGAGTCTTGCAGTGCCTGAAAAGAAGTCAGTTGCAAACGATTCCATTTTTTTAAGGAAGCTACTCACAGAGATCAGTTCCATACTTCAGCCCGACTTTGGGGACCCAACCCTTACTGCGGAAGTAGTGATACGCCATGTAAGTAGTTTTAAAATTGGGCTTCACTTCGCTGAAAACTTCCCATAGCTTCAAAATAGTTAGGGGCTCCTAAAAATCACGAGCAAAGGCATTAATGTGACTACATTAATATTAAGCAGATATAGAATACTGTGTGTAGGAGAGTGTAACAGCCAAACATCAAATACCACAGGCTACTGCAAAGAGCATGAACTTCGGGCAATAAAATATGGAATCCCTAAATATAAGAAACCTGTTGCTCCATTTAGTGTTTTTTTTTTTAACATTTCACAATCAGTCCCATAATGCCCTTGTTTAAAGGAAAATCTGATAGGTTTCAATTATTTTGTCATTACATTAACAGTAGCTTGATATAGATTAATGCTTAAAATTCCAAGGAATTTTCCTGTTTTAGGAGAGAAAGAGACTATTCACCATATTATTCCTCCCATACTTGCTTTCCCTGTATTTCCTGCCTAAGTTACAACAAAAACCTTTCTCTACAGAAAGACTGTGCTTAACTATATTTGCCTTGGTAAACATAAAACTTTCAGACCAGTATTTCATAAACAGAAATATAATTACTTATAAGAAAAACTTCCTAATTACTCTGTTTGGTATTTCCTCCTTCAGAATTAACAGCATAAAATACTGCCATAGTAGGTAAAAATTTCAGTCCAAAACATATCCAAACTAATGGTATCCCCAGTAATCCAAAATTAATCCAATCTCTTACCTCACCATAATAAATACTTAAACATCCCAGAGCATACACCAAGAAAAAAGCCTGAAAAATAAACAGAATAAGTTTAACTGATAGCTAGACTTTTCCTGTATTTTATACTCCATGCAAGAACAAAGGCTCAAATTAATTTTATACAAGAATCCTAATGTCATCAAGACAAACAAGTTGCCTGAAAGTTTCCTTTGAGATTTGTCTTCATGACCTTTACATTTCAACAGACACAGCACTACAAAAAACTTACGCATGTGCTGTAGTCTCCCGAAGGCACTGTGTTAAAACTAACAAACGTGAATATATTTAGAAGCAGCACAATCAAAGCAGGATTTATATAAATGTTATATTCCTGGTATTTCTATACTTAAGTCCTATCACCGGTCTCTTTGTCAGTGGGATTATTTATCTAAAGCGAATGGGATTGGATCCTACATTTTTTTTTAACCATATCATATAATTATCGCAGGTTATTAAAAGTAAGTTTAATGACTAAGACAATCCAAATACTTAGGAGACACAGAAGAACCCTGTACTTTAGAAACAGGTACTAAATTATGTTGTAACATAGATTAATGTTTGCTTTTCAGATTAAAAGTAGAACAACTTGTACTGTACTTGAAACATACCTCTTCCAAGCTGAGTTGTAAATATTCAAAAATCCTAAATGGATTTCTTCTGCATACTAGTTTTTCCTTTTTGACAAGCTACAAGAAAAATTTACTATATTACTAAAACTTTAAACTGGAAAAAATACTGAATACTGAAAATAGCACTGATGATCTAATTTTTCTAAAAGATTAGGATACTCTTTATCCTTACATTTTCTTGTGCATGAGCAGAGTCATCTTCAGGACATAAGCTACCTTCTTCTTCCTCTTGCACCAATACATATTCTGGAGCACATTCTTTTGACTTGATCATCTCACAAGATCTTTGCTCAGTGCTCTCCTTAGCCTTGCAGCCGCAATGCACCGGAAAACCATGCTTCTGGCAAGACGCTTCAGCTATCTCTTTCAAGTCACCTTGTTCCTGTTCTTTAGAGCCACATACGGCCACAGGATCCAACACTGGATCTCCTTCCAAACGGGCTTTCTTGTAGCCTTCATTCTGATTCTCAGGACTTAGGGCTAGTACGTTTCCAGTATCTGTAGAAGATTGTCTGGAAAGTTCTGTATTTTCTGTATTTGGGCCCATTCTGTTGCAACTATTACCCATTTGTTCAGCTCCAGCCTCTTCCAAAAATGGCAGCTCAAGAGGTTTAGTGTAATCTTCAAGAATTTTGGTAACCGAGCAGTCATCAAATCCTTGCTCTTGCAAAATACTTTTAGCCCACTGAACATGACACTGGTACCTAGTAAATAAGTAAAATAAATGACAAGTTCTAGGGCATCACATCCTTTAATTAATATCTTACAAAAAAAGAAGATTCAGCACAGTTCACAAAACAAATCTGAAAACCCCCCCAATAACTGCTATGCAAAATACAAGCATGCACAATGTAGCAAGACTCCAGTCTTCAGGAAGCTGCAGACGACATTACTGAACATCAAGATTCTGCTACCTTCTTTGGCTTTGTTTTGCCTTTTAAATTTCTGTGGCAACAAACACTGTTACCGCATGTTGCCCAAGAACCATGCATTGAGGACTAGTGCTATATAGTTTCAAAAAGCAAGAACTTCACCAGGCAGAAACTCCCTTCTCCCATGGAAGCCTTAAGCCTGAATTCCCTGCAAAACATTTTGGTATCAGAGCTTGCATGATTAAAATACGCAACAAGACTTTGCATAGAGGTCTCATACACGTCATCTATTATACAGCTAACTACCGAGAACAGTATCTTCAAAACTCTGTTTTAACTATCTTTGAAACAGCAATGGCATGGGAAAAACACCAGCTCAAAAATCTTAAGAAACTACCTTCAGTTTTAGCAAAACCCTCACATTCCTGAGAAATAACAATAATCCTATCAGTGAGATAATAGCTGAAAGCTGTAAATATTTCTAATATTTTTCAATTATGATAGAGTTTTTAGTGCCCCTTCAATTATTTCTCCTTGGAAGATAACATTAATATCCAGTTGAAGACATCAATCTTCATTCTGTGAAAGCTACAGGTAGCTGAGTGCAGCTGTCCTTACTCAAACCTGGACAACCCTAGTACAATATTCTTTATTTCCCAAAACAATATCCTAACACAGCAATTACAGACCAGGTAATGAAGAACTACAAAGACAATTAAATGCAAATTTCACGTATCAACATAAAATATAAGTCACTCTGAAGTCTCATAATAAAGCTATATAATTCAGTGCTGTACTTTTTGTTATAAAAAAATACTCCTCTCTGTCCTATGATTTAATTACCATATAATTTGCACTTACAGATCTCTACTGAGACAGATCATGATGCGTTTTCTGCAGCAATGTAATTACACTCTCATTGATGCTCAGCTGTATTTGCTGGCACATAAAGCAGTCACAAAGTAGACTAATAAGAATGACAAGTGTTTCTACAAGTAGTAGTAACTGTAGTAGCTGTAGTAGCAACATTGCTACTGTTTGTCTTACCTACAGTTGAGGACTGAAGGAGCATAACTTTTAAATTTAAATAACGTAAAATTTTTAGAGTTATCATAGATCAAAGCAAACAGAGTAACTAACTTGCACGCTCTTAACAGTTAGTTCATATCCTATTCAAGCGGAACAAAATAAATCTGTGGTCCAACACTCTGTTTTGCTAAATGTACAAACTAGTAATGTTAATAGAGACTTTAAAAAAAAAAAAAAAAAGTAAAACATTTATGTATTACTAAAGTTCAAGAGGTGCTTCAGCCCACACTATAATAATTCAATAAGGAAATGGGAAAGTTATTTTAAGTAGCCTGCCCCAGAAACTCTCTTTCTCCTCCTCAGCTGAGAAACAGGTTTGTTATGCCTGATATTATTATTAATTAATTACCCATACTACTATGCATGCACTCAATCTTGGCTTCTATTCAGTAATTAATACCTGCAAGCTTACATGAAAAACTATGCTGAATACCACCTACTCTATTTGTAGTTTTTCTAATGTGATTTATAAATGAAATAAAAAGAAAAGAAATAGAAGCAAGTCATCATCATCATTTATACAGCCAACAATCTGAAAACCAGTAAGATAAAATATAAAATAATCTGTTTCCCAAAAAAACCAAGAATAAATTCATGTAACTTAACTTACTTTTTAGATGCGATCATAGGCATGTTTATGTTAGCACCTGTGTAAGGAAAAATCATACATTGTTTCAACAATATAAAAATGTTTTCATGTGATTTTGCTCACTGAGGTAATCTGCAGCCTAGTAATTACCCCCATCTTCAATACTCTATGCCATTTTGGTCCCACTTGTGTTCAAGCACACAGCAGAACTTGAAAAGGTACAGGGGTAACAGCCTGCACAAGAGGAACAACTAAATACACTTTTTTTCTCCTGTAAAAAGACAGTTACGGAGGGATATGATAAAATCCAGTGATGTCTACTGAGACTTAACTGACATGGACAAGATGAATAAACAACCAAGAGCAGACTAGATGTAATTGGCTATAAGCAGATTAAAAATTTCACATATCCTCGCCTCATGATTTCATGGCCACCAAAATCTACAGATTAAAACCAAGAAAAACTGGCCAGTTATACGAAGAAAAGGCCAAGGATGATACCTCTACTTACAGACTTCCTAAGCAACAAATCAGTAAAGGCCAGGAGAGCGCACTAAGGAGCTATCGACAGATGTTTCCTGTTCTTGTATTTTTCCTAGGCATCTTGTACTGGCCATCATCAGGTATGGGGAGAGAGAGATCCTTGATCTGACCCAGTAGAGAGATTATTTTTCTGTGTGTAATTTATAAACATATATCCTCAATGAGTGAAGAAAAGTTAAAAGTACTATTAGGATAGTGATGGAAATACAAATGGACACGATTTACCTTGCCACTTAGTAACCAGTGAAGGATCTGAAATGCTGTATACCGGTCGACTTCTTGAAAGGATACCTTTTCCAAAATAGCCCTTCAAAGAAAAGGGAAAATCCTTATTATATCATGACACAAAACCTAGTTTCTTTCCAAATTACACCATGTTGACTGCCAAGATCAGCTGAAAAAAATTACTGAAATTCTGCAGCATTTAAGCTTTGCCTAAAGCTTGTTGCTTAGGTTCTGATAGCTAGTTCAGTATTAAACACCTGCACTCAAAGATTTAACCAGTGGAGGGTGTTGGGTCTTTTTCCTCAATCCTAAATACTTGTCAGCTGACACCTCCAAGTAGACTTCTGAACGCAGATGCAGAAGAAAGCACCTGTGTATCAACGCTGTGACAATGCGTAATAGAAAACAAAGAGATGGATAAAGCTGCTGCATAAGAATGGTGGTGAAATGGTACTCAGACATAAAAGGCTTAATGTAGCTTATTTTACTCAGGAAGAAATCGCTCTGAAGTTAAAAGAATTATACAAGCATTTATAAAACATTAATATTCCAGCCTCCTGAGCTTTAAAAACAAGAAAATGCTTTTGCAAGGTTGCATAAAATGTTGAAAGGAGAAATAAACATAACAAACATGAAGTTTTTGCAGATGTTTTTTAGCTCACAATGTCACTTCATTCCAAAATTTATTTGCTGGGATAAGAACAAAATACTTTTCACATTTGATACAACATTGATGTTTTGTACTGATTTCAGGAGAGGAGAGAGAGATGGAGGATTACTGGAGGCTGAAGGGGAAGGAAAGCATAAAGGCAGGCAGATTTTAACAAGTATTCTGCTTTACCTACGTTTGAAACACTAAAAATACTGTGCAAACAGGGTACAGCACCTTGTTATAGAGCTGTTCAATATCTTCAGGGTTCCTCACAATAACATTGTTGTTAATGATCTCAGCCTGGCATATTCTGAAATCCTTCCCACCTACATCCACAGGAAAGGGAGACTCATATGACTCAAAAACTCTTCTTTTCCTTCTTGGGGGATGAAAAACTGCTTCTGCCATTTCCTAATATTAATGCTTCCTCCTAAAAAGTGGAAACAAAACATTTAATGTTCAGGAGTTAAAGTTCACCCTTTTTTATATGTTTCAGCAATATTCCCTTCCCAATAGCAAATCAGCAACAAATCCTACAGTGTAATCCAAGTTTAATTCTGTAACTATTATGCCAGACAAACATAAGCAGCCATTTGCTAGTGTTATCTGTTAATTTTTTTCTCTTGGGCATTGCAGTATCCCCTGAAGACCAGGTAGGGATAGTTGTCAGCCAAGAGTTTATAAAGTAAACCTAAGATGAAAGGCGAGTACATAAACTGCTGAAAACGTTTCAAGAATAAACCAGACGAATGAGCAGAAGAGCAGAAACCGCAGCGCACAAGTGCCTAAATATAAACTGTTTTGAATAATTACGGGAATAATTTTTGAAGAGAGAGCCGCGGCTTGGCAGGTTTCTCTTCTTTCAACAGGGAGCCCCCTTCACAGGCCCGAGGCTCTCTGGAGGCGCAGGGGACAGGCAACCTTCGCCGCCAGACAGGGCCGCCGAGGCGGGGGGGT